TGTTCCTCTAATAATTAAGCCAAGTACCAAACAGGAAGTTGAAAAAACTAAAAAGGATCTTAACTCAAAAGTTGATCCCAAAGAGTTACAAATTATGAACATAGTGGGTGGACAAGATGGAGTGGTAATCGTAGAAAGTGCAAACAATGCAGAGAGAGAAAAAATAAGAAATGCAATTGAAAATAATATTGGAAATAATTATGAGGTGAGGATCCCTAAAAAAATTAACCCATCTGTTCTGATAACCGGAATAAGTTACAAATATGAGATTGAGGAGCTTGCTCAAAGAATTAAAAGCCAAAATAATTGCTTGAGCCAAACCGACATAAAAATTACACATTTATACCAAGTAAATAAAAATGGAAATACTTACTATAATGCAGTTCTAGAATTGGATGTCAAAGTGTTTGCGAAGATATTAGCTGAGGAAAGGCTTAATGTAGGATGGGAACGATGCAAAGTATACGATGCAGTGCAGGTTTTGCGTTGTTTTAAGTGTAAAGGCTTCAATCATAAAGCTAAAGACTGTGGAGCAACGGAAGTGTGCACTAAATGTCATGGTGCACATATTTCCAAAGAATGCAATGTGACAGCAATTAATAAATGTATCAACTGCATTAGAGCAAACAAAGATCTGAATATGGGACTAGATATAAACCACGATACTATGGACAGATTGTGCCCTGTATATCAGCAGAAGCTGAATGTAAGGAAAAAACATATGGGATACTAGCAACAAACCAAATATAGTGTGACTATGTCACGGAAAACTAAAGCGTATACTACACGCAATAAGAAAGGCTGTATCCTGCGGTGCATATATCTTAATATTAATAGTATTGTATCAAATAAAGTGGAACTCGAACGTCTTATCGAAGTTAAAAAACCAGCCTTAGTAGTGTGCTCCGAAACTTGTACAACAGATAATATAATGGACTCTGAGTTAAATATCTCTACATATAAATTAATCCGTTGTGATTCACACAGTAGGCACACGGGTGGTGTGTTATTTTATATACATCAACAAGTAGAATTTAACATTGTGTGCAATAAGTCTTTCGATATGAATATGTGGTGTATTATTATAAAAATTAAAAAATGCGCACTTAAGTGGCAGTTTGGAGTAATCTATCACTCACCTAGTAGCAGCGATGCAGATTTTGTTAAATATATAAATGAGATCGTCACGGAGCACCTTAAAGATTCGGATAATAATCTAATTATTGGCGACTTTAATATAAACATGAATATACCATCCACGTACTCTAACCAACTTACAAGTGTGTTTGCACAAATGGCCATGTTACAAAGAATTGATTTTAACACGAGAGTAACGGAGCACTCAGCTACAAAAATCGACCTACTATTTGCCAATAATGACCAAATCAAAATTGAATGTGCTAGCGAATATAAAATATCTGATCATGAGACAATCTGCTTTCAAATACCCACTACAAAATATTGCAGAATGAGAAAATATGCTAATGCCGTCTGTTGGGAGAACTACAGCGCGGAGAACCTGATAAATCTGCTGCGGTTATGTGATATAAGTTCTATATCTAATATAGTAATAGAAAATAGGGTTCAGGCTTTGAATGATATCTTGTCAGAAGCCATGCAAACATTGACATACGAGAAGAGGATCAATATACAATTGCGAAATAAGTGGTACGATCGTGAACTAACAGTACTACATAATAGAAAATTTGAATTATATAAAAATGCGATTAGCTCAGGTCATTGGGATAATTATAATGCCGTTAAAAAATTATATAAAAAAACTATAATACTTAAAAAGAAGAAATACATGGAAGATCAAGTGATTATTAATAAAGGGAATATGAAATCCATGTGGAAATGTTTGAAAGATGCGGTGGAACTTGCAGACAATAAAGAGCATATTAAAAAAATAGTATTTAACGGTGAATGTCTAGAAAATAGCAACGATATAGCTAATGTCTTAAATTGTTATTTTGTTCAGAGCATAATCCAAATCAATGATAGTATTGAAACAATTGAACCTGTTGATGAAAGTGAAACAACCAACTCGATAGCAACATTTGAGCTCACCAGTATTGAGTTAGAAGATATAATGAACATCACAAAATCATTTAAAAACAAATATGGCGGTAAAAATCTATTGTCAGAGGGTGTTATCAAGGACTCTATGATGTACATTGCTCACGTATATAAGGACATTATAAACGAATCGTTTGATAGTGGCATTGTCCCGAGCTGCTGGAAGATATCCACAATAATACCAGTGGCAAAAGTGAAAAATACAATGAAACCTGACGAGCTGCGCCCAATTAATACCCTACCCATTGACGAAAAAAATTATGGAAACAGTGGTGAAAAAGCAACTAGTAACCTACCTAGACAATCATAATATAATCATACCAGAACAATCAGGCTTCAGGAAAAGCCACTCCTGCGAAACAGCATTGAACATGGTAATTGCAGAGTGGAAAGAGGCTGTTGCTGATAAAAAGGTAGTAGTATCTTGCTTCTTAGACTTAAAGAGGGCGTTTGAAACAATCGATCGAAATGAATTGCTAAAGATAATGGATAAAATGGGGATTAAGGGAAAAGCTTTGGAATGGTTTCGTAGCTACCTGAGTAACAGAAAGCAGAGGACGGTAATTGGAGACGCAGTTTCATCGGTTGTTGATGTTAACATTGGGCTGCCGCAAGGCTCAGTACTTGCTCCGATATTGTTTATAATTTATATCAATGATATAAAAACTTGTTTGAGACATTGTAAAATAAGTCTTTTCGCGGATGATGCTTTAGTTAGCATTAGCGACAAAAATGTAGATTGTGCTGTTTTGAAAATACAAGAAGACTTAAATAATTTATATAAATGGCTGTGCATCAGAAAGCTAAAACTTAATATTGATAAAACTAAGTATATGATATTCCACAAGAACCACAACGTTGTAAACCATAATACTTTAAGCCATTCTAGTCTGAAGATAAAAACCAATGCAATTGAAAGAGTAGATCAAATGAAGTACCTAGGTGTAATAATTGATGAGAAACTAAGTTTCGTAGAACATATGAATCATTTAGAGAAGAAAATTGCACAGAAAATAGGATTTATGTGTCGAGCATGTAAGGATATTAGCCAACATCACAAAATATTAGTATATAGATCAATTATAGAACCGCATTTTATTTACTGCCCAACAATACTACTGTTAACAAATGATACGTTAATTAACAAACTCCAAATACAGCAAAACAAAGCAATGCGTTTGATACTAAAATGCTCTTATAGAACATCAAAAAGTATTATGCTTCCTATGTTAAATTGGCTTAGTATTAAACAATTAATCTGTTATTACACATTGAAATTTATACATTACATAACACAGGGAATGTTACCAAATTATCTGAGTGATAGGATGCAGTACAATCATGAGATCCATAACTATGGAACTAGGAGTTGCAGAAATCTAAGACTGCCCAAATTAAGAACCGAGTTCGCAAAAAAGACTTTAGAATACGTAGGTTATAAAATGTATAATGAACTACCAGCAGAGATAAAAGACTGTGAAAACGTGGTTAAGTTTAAAAAAAAACTATTTTTATATTGTAAAAATTTAAATATGTAATATTAATTAAACAATGAATTTACTCATTTCTTTTAATGAAATAGTTTTAAGAAACAATTATGAATTTTGTAAACACTGGATGTATTATACAATGAATTAGGCTTTTTTGGAGGTAATAAATGAAATAATAATAATAATAATAATAATAATGACGCCCAAACGCGCCCCCTCCTCCTCCGCCCCATGCTTTCGGCCGGAAGTTTTTCATATCTTTTATATTTGAAAATAAAATTGCTTTTATATTATAGTATTACGCGACTAAATAAAGTTTATTTCATTTCAGAAGATGAGAATGAACAACCCGCCGAAGGGGAAGAGGAGAAAGAGTTTGTGAACTATCAAATTAGTAATGATGTACACTTTACCAACAGCCGTATGGCTTCATTGGCATGCATCAAGCGTGGTGCCGTAATTGAAGCAGACAAATCTATACATTCCCAGTTGCGCCTGATTAATTTCTCCGATGGTTCACCGTACGAGACGTTGCATGCATTCATTTCAAAGTCCTTGGCGCCTTACTTCAAGTCTTACGTTAAGGAATCGGGACGTGCAGATCGTGATGGTGATAAAATGGCGCCTTCTGTTGAAAAGAAGTTGGCCGAGTTGGAGATGGGCCTTTTGCATCTACAGCAAAACATAGACATACCAGAAATAACGTTGACGGCACATACTTCTGTAAATGCGGTCATACGTAAATGCGCTGATGAAAACCGCAAGGCAAAAGTGGCTGACTTTGGTGACAAAGTAGAGGATTCGTCATTTCTTAATCAATTACAAAATGGTGTAAATCGTTGGATTAAAGAAATCAAAAAGGTTACCAAGTTAGACCGTGATCCATCATCGGGCACAGCTCTACAGGTATAAAAGATTTCCTTACCACCATATCAATACTAATCGGTACTACAATCCAATAGTCATGAAATACCAGCAAACCTAACAAAAGCTAGTGTATGTTGTAGCTATGTAGCGTATAGTTCCTGAACCCTCCATTTTTATTGTATTTAAAAATAACCGTTAAGATCGTACTTCATGATTTATTTATTTATTTATTTGTTACAGTCTTGCGACTTAAAAGTACAGATAGGTATTTTTAATATATAACAAAGTATGCGTATATGTAAGTTTAAATTTTCAATTACAAAGCTGTTTATGTTTCTAAAACTATCAAATAACCTATATAAATGTATATTGTCTAACTAGTTTGGTAGCTGGCGAGGCCTAGTCTCCAGTCTACCTTTAAATATGTACTATGTGCAGCAGGCGGAAAGACCTTGTTTCCGCTCCGCGTTGCACTTATCTATTAACAGCTCGACTATTTTTCATCCAATATTAAAAACCAAACAAAAATATTCAACACGGTGCTTAAGGTGGAAAAATGTGTGTATCAAATTTAGTCGAGATCGGTCAAATAGTGAGATACGCATATATGATATAAGCGGGCAGCACCCGCCCATTTTCCTAAAATTTTATGAAAAACGAATTTTGTGTTAATGAACCATATACAGTATCGGTCATATCTATAGCACGCCATTTCAAAGTGATATTGTGTGCAACTTAAGTTAATTTATTTATTTTTGAGAATTTTCAATTAAAATACAGTTCTTTCTCTAACAAACCCCATATAAATCCAAGTTTAACAATTTGTAGAAAACTTCAAAAAAGTGCAACAAATTTTCACCTAAATTTCAAACTTTTTTCTCAGAAGTGTTTGAATTTTTCTGAATACACAGTTTTATAGCCCAATGAATTTTAGTCTGATAATGTGCAAGTTTCAAGTGACTGAAAGTTACCGTTGATTTTTTAGAATTTTTTTCTCCAAAGGTGTTGCGGCTTTCCTCCATATACAAATAAATTGAGTTTATTCATTATATGGAAGCCAATGCGACAAAAAAAATTCTAAAAAATTAACGGTACTTCGTACCTACTTGAAATTTGCACATTATCAGATTAAAATTGCAGGGGCTAAAAAACTGTGTACTCGAAAAAAATCTAACACTTCCGAGAAAAAAGTTTGAAACTTAGGTGAAAATTTGTTGCACTTTTTTGAAGTTTTCTATAAATTGTTAAACTTGGGTTTATATGGGGTTTGTTAGAGAAAGGACTGTATTTTAATTGAAAATTATTAAAAATAAATAAATAAACATAAGTTGCACACAATATCACTTTGAAATGGCGTGCTATAGATATGACCGATACTGTATATATATGTATATATCAAATTTGAGTATATATTGATGAATTCCTTAGTCACACTGCTCAAAAAATCTGAACGTCCGGCACATATACACAAATAAATTTAAGGCACTATTTCTGCTTAAATTGCTTAACTTCGACAATTCTTATGCAATTTCTTTGAGTGGGGTATCCATTTATTCGAAAATAGATGTTGCATCAAGTACGAACATAACGGTTGTTTAAAAAAAAAAATAAAAATGGAGGGTTCAGGAACTATACGGAACCTACTTTTATGTTGTACTCGACCATAGCTACAACCTACACTAGGTTTTGTTTCAAGTATATTTCATGACTTTTTTTGTACCACCGTGTAATTATTGGGAATTTCTTCTTTTTTTTTTAATTTACAAATAGGAAATATCATTTTGGTTGAACTTGGAGCGCGCTCTGTATCGCATCCAGGAAAAGCGCGAATCACCAGAAGTTGCCCTCACACTAGACATATTAAAACATGGCAAACGTTTCCATGCCACCGTGTCGTTTGATACTGATACCGGCCTAAAACAGGCCTTGGCTATGGTTGCCGATTATAATCCCCTAATGAAGGATTTTCCCATTAATGACTTGCTATCTGCTACCGAGCTAGAGAAAATTCGCCCAGCAGTGCAGCAGATTTTCTCACATTTGCGCAAAGTACGTAACACTAAGTACCCAATACAACGTTGTCTCAAACTCATCGAAGCTATTTCACGCGATTTGTCACAACAACTACTAAAAGTGCTGGGTACACGTCGGCTAATGCATATTCCTTTCGATGAATTTGAACGTGTCATGAATCAGTGCTTTGAAATATTCAGTTGCTGGGACGACGAGTACGATAAATTACAAGGTTTATTGCGCGACATTGTAAAGAAGAAGCGAGACGAGCATTTGAAGATGGTCTGGCGCGTATCACCTGCGCATAAGAAGCTTCAGACACGCATGGAGCATATGCGCAAGTTCCGTCGCCAACATGAACAATTGCGTACTGTAATTTTGCGTGTGTTGCGCCCTACCAAGCAAGCACAAAATAATGATACCAATGCTGTCGAAACCAAGCAACCATATAGCCTGGAAGCGGCTGATGCTAATGCTATTGAAGAGGTAAACTTGGCATATGAAAATGTCAAAGAGGTAGATTGCTTGGATATAACCAAGGAAGGATCAGAAGCGTGGGAAGCAGCTGTGAAACGTTATGAAGAAAAAATTGGTAAGTAGATTGAGGAATATTTATTGATTTAAAATGTTTTAAAATTGTGGCTTTGTAGATCGTGTCGAAGCACGCATCACAGCACATTTGCGTGATCAACTCGGCACTGCTAAGAATGCAAACGAAATGTTTCGTATTTTCTCGCGCTTCAATGCGCTTTTTGTGCGTCCGCACATACGTGGTGCAATACGCGAATATCAGACACAACTTATACAACGTGTAAAGGATGATATTGATGCATTGCACGAGAAGTTCAAGGTTCGTTTGAAAATCACCGCACCGGTAAACAATTTTGAACACATTTTAATTACATTTAGGTACAATATCCACAAAGCAAAAGCTATCGTCTTTCCACTGTGCGCGATTTACCACCAGTAGCTGGATCCATCATTTGGGCACGTCAGATCGATAACCAATTGACAATGTATTTGAAACGCGTAGAAGATGTGCTGGGCAAGGGCTGGGAAACGCATTTGGAGGGACAAAAACTAAAAGCAGATGGCGATAGCTTCCGCGCCAAGCTCTCGATTTCTGAAGTATTCCAGGAATGGGCACGCAAAGTGCAGGAACGTAATTTCGGCAATTCTGGTCGCATTTTCACAATTGAATCAGCACGTTCGCGTACCGGACGTAGCAACGTTTTAAAATTGCGCGTTAACTTTTTGCCAGAAATCATTACGCTCTCAAAGGAAGTGCGCAACATTAAGAATTTGGGATTCAGGTTTGTATCTTAAAAATATCTCGTAACTATTTGAATAGATTTTATGTTTACCCATTTACTGTGTTTTTAGAGTTCCACTTACTATCGTAAACAAGGCACATCAAGCCAATCAGATTTACCCATATGCAATTTCATTGATTGAGAGCGTTCGCACCTATGAGCGCACCTTGGAAAAGGTATTATTATGTGTTTAATTGAATTTCGCACTGATTTAACACTCATACATATACGCCCACTACACCATACTCACATTATTTAATATTTTTTCTAAACTTTTAATACTACACTTTTCATAAGTACATGCATGCTCCGCGTGCAGCTTGTAAATTTTAACTTATTAAAAAAAAATAAAATTTGTATTTATTTACTTAATGGTAGCGATATTTTGCGCTAATTTCCACGTATCGATTTATGTTGGTTTAGTTGTAACAAAAACATGCTTTATCTTCGCTTGGTTTTAGTTTTAGCTCAAAGCCCGAAAACATTACACACATTCGATTCACTTCCACATTAAATAAAAAATCTGCTTAATTTTCAATATCACTTTGTAACAATCAAACGCTGTACAAGTTTTTTTTTTAATTAAACTTTGCATTAAACTCGCAATGAATTTACTCTCTCAACAAACAATGTCGAATACCTCCCTCTCTTACATGCAGCTAAATAATAGGAGTTTAGCACAAAATTCAGTATTCAAGGTAGTGTTATTGTTAATAAATGTCTCTCAAATAGAACTATAGTATGTATACAATCATTTGCACTTAGAATATTTAATAATTGTAATCAAATTCTAAAATAAAATCAAAAAAGTATTCACATTCTATAGTTACTGCAAGCGCATGCTTTGTACATAAAAAAGCAAACTTCACGCACAACTTTTCCAAGCATCCGCATATTTAGTTACTTTTTCTTACTTGCTAGATTGAAGATCGCGCCAGCATTGTTCCACTAGTTGCTGGCTTGCGCAAGGAAGTGCTAAATTTAATTTCCGAGGGAATTGGACTGGTCTGGGAGTCGTACAAACTCGATCCGTATGTTCTACGCCTGTCAGAATGTGTTACACAGTTCCAAGAAAAAGTGAGCTAGTGTGTTATCATATAAAAACTTTTAATCAACCAATATATTTTCCCCAGGTCGAGGACTTGCTCGTCGTCGAGGAGCAATTGGACGTTGATGTGCGCTCGCTAGAAACTTGTCCTTACAGCGCTGCTACTTTCACCGAAATCTTATCGAAAATTCAACATGCCGTTGACGCTTTATCACTCAAACAATATTCCAATTTAAATGTTTGGGTTACACGTCTGGATGAGGAAGTTGAAAAGAAGTTAGCTATGCGTCTTCAGGCTGGTATACAAGCTTGGACTGAAGCTTTAACTGGTAGCAAGAAGGAGCGCGATCTCTCCATGGACACTGATGCCCCAGCACAGCCAACACACAAGCTTGGTGGTGAGCCACAGATTCAGAATGCTATTCATGAGATACGCATTACCAATCAGCAGATGTACTTGTATCCCTCAATCGAGGAGGCACGTTTCCAAATTATGCAGCAGTTGTTCGCATGGCAAGCAATTGTTACTTCGCAGGTGCGCCTGCAGAGCACACGCTACCAAGTCGGTTTGGACAAACTTGCTCCCCCTACTTATCGCAATTTGTTGACTAAATTGCCAGAAACTATGATTTTGGAGAATGCTTATGGCGCAATTGAAAATAAAATTAGTGAAGTGCGTAATTATGTGGAGGAATGGTTGCGTTATCAGAGCCTATGGGATTTGCAAGCCGATACTTTGTATGGCCGTTTAGGTGAAGATGTTAATTTGTGGATTAAATGTTTGAATGATATTAAGAAATCACGCACTACCTTCGACACATCTGATACACGCCGTGCATATGGACCGATTGTAATTGACTACGCTAAAGTGCAGGCTAAGGTAACCTTGAAATACGATTCATGGCATAAGGAGGCATTGGGTAAATTTGGCACACTGCTCGGCAATGAAATGACTACATTCCATTCGAAGGTATCGAAGTCGCGTACTGATTTGGAGATGCAAAGCATTGGTAAGTTTGACAAAAGCTATCTATCTGTAAAGCCTTTCACATTCGCTTTGTTTTGCTTTCTGTTAAAACAGAGGCCGCCAGCACTTCTGATGCCGTAAGCTTTATCACTTACGTGCAAACGCTCAAAAAAGACATGATCGCTTGGGACAAACAAGTTGAAGTATTCCGTGAAGCACAGCGCATACTCGAGCGCCAACGTTTCCAATTCCCTAACAACTGGTTGCACGTTGACAACATCGAAGGTGAATGGTCCGCCTTCAATGAGATCATCAAACGCAAAGATACAGCCATTCAAACACAAGTGGCCAGCTTACAAGCTAAAATTGTAGCCGAGGATAAGGCTGTTGAGACGCGTACTATTGATTTCTTGAACGATTGGGAGAAGAACAAGCCAACTGGCGGCAAAATACGACCAGATGATGCATTACAACAATTGCAATTGTTTGAGACAAAATATTCACGTTTGAAGGAAGAGCGCGATAATGTGGCCAAGGCCAAGGAGGCACTGGAATTGCAGGAATCCGCTATACCTAACAATAGTTCGGAACGTATGAATGTAGCTTTGGAAGAGTTGCAGGACCTGCGTGGTGTCTGGAGCGAGCTCTCCAAGGTTTGGACACAGATTGATGAGACTAGGTGGGCATTTATAGTCTTTCTAATGTGTATAATAATACATACATATAAGTACATATTTACTGTATATATATATCTATCTTTAGGGAGAAACCTTGGCTTTCGGTACAACCCCGAAAATTGCGTCAACAACTCGAGGCTATGATGACACAGCTGAAAGAATTGCCGGCACGTTTGCGCATGTACGAATCATACGAATATGTGAAGAAACTAATTCAAAGCTATATTAAAGTGAACATGATGATCGTTGAATTGAAGTCAGATGCACTCAAGGAGCGTCACTGGAAGCAACTTACCAAACAGCTACGTGTTAATTGGGTCATATCCGATTTGACACTTGGACAAGTTTGGGATGTTAACTTGCAGAAGAACGAGAACGTAGTAAAGGACATTATACTCGTTGCTCAGGGTGAAATGGCACTGGAAGAATTTTTGAAGCAGGTGCGCGAATCTTGGCAGAGCTATGAACTCGATTTGATTAATTATCAAAACAAATGTCGCATCATACGTGGTTGGGATGACCTCTTCAATAAAGTTAAGGAGCATATCAATTCCGTTGCTGCTATGAAACTCTCACCGTATTATAAAGTTTTCGAGGAGGAAGCACTAACCTGGGAAGAGAAATTGAATCGTATAAATGCACTTTTTTGACGTTTGGATTGATGTACAACGCCGCTGGGTCTACTTGGAAGGTATTTTCTCTGGAAGCGCTGATATTAAAACACTTTTGCCGGTGGAAACATCGCGCTTCCAAAGTATCAGCTCCGAGTTTTTGGGTTTAATGAAAAAAGTAACCAAGTCACCGAAAGTAATGGATGTATTAAATATACCAGCTGTGCAGCGTTCACTAGAACGTCTTGCTGACCTTTTGGGTAAAATCCAGAAGGCTTTGGGCGAATATTTGGAACGAGAACGTACCTCGTTCCCACGTTTCTACTTCGTAGGCGATGAGGATCTTTTGGAGATTATTGGCAATAGCAAGAATATTGCACGTTTGCAAAAGCATTTCAAGAAAATGTTTGCTGGTGTTGCTGCTATTCTCTTGAACGAGGATAATACTGTCATTTTAGGTATCTCTTCACGCGAAGGTGAAGAAGTAAAATTCATGAATCCAGTTTCGACCGTCGAACACCCAAAAATCAATGAATGGCTTTCCCTGGTTGAGAAACAAATGCGTTTCACTCTGGCATCACTTTTGGCACAAGCCGTACAAGATATTAAACAATTCCGTGACGGCAAAATTGATCAACAAAAATATATGGAGTGGTGTGACAAGTATCAGGCTCAAATTGTTGTACTTGCAGCGCAAATTCTCTGGTCCGAGGATGTGGAATCGGCTTTGCAACAAGCATCTGAGAGTAATAATTCAAAGCCCATGCAGCGCGTGTTGGGTACCGTGGAGTCTACATTGAATGTGCTCGCTGACTCAGTGTTGCAGGAACAACCGCCACTGCGCAGACGTAAATTGGAGCATTTGGTACATATTGAAAAGCTTATACACAGCCTATTTAAACTAATTAGTTACTTTTTTTAATTTCTTTCAGATCAATGAATTTGTTCATAAGCGTACAGTAACACGACGCTTGACTGCCAATGGAGTTACCAGTCCCAAATCTTTCCAATGGCTTTGTGAGATGCGTTTCTACTTCGACCCACGTCAAACTGAGGTAAATATTTCCACTAATAGTACCCCGTCAACCCTCTAGAAACAATGAAAAGTATTTATAGAGTTCTGCATTTATCACAAAATAATATAATCAAAATTAGTATAAAAAATAAAATTACCAGCACAATTCTGAATACTCCCAGGGAGTTTGTTCTCCGGGAATTTGTTTCTCTCGAGAAAGAAATCCTCCAATAATTAACTCCCAGGAAGTAGCATTTTCCCCGAAAATTTGGAAGGAGAAAATTCAATCTTCGCAAGAGCTGTTTGATACTTTTTTGACAGCTCAACTCCGCCATTTAATATATAAATAATCCGCAGGGAATTTTTATTCATGATAGGAGGAAAGGGAAAAGAGAGAAAACTCCCAGGGAGTTCCTGTTCAGAATCGGCCTGAATATAAGAATGGTTATTTCTAAATCATCTAAAGACGTTTCCTCACTACGAGTATGACATCGAAGCTGTTATCTACGTATTTGTCAATATTACTGATGATTTTATCGAAATCATCGATTTATACGCAAAAAATTGTCGTTATCGATATAAAAATCTTTTCGGTTATCGAAATATGTACTTGTATCGATATATTTTCCACTGGTTTATTATCGAAATATCGTTCAACAGTTTTGTCGATATTTTTTGGTTATCGATATAGTTTCGTTATCGCATTCGCTCCAATCAGAATATGTACATACATACATACATATCGTCTTTTAAAGTACAAAACAGCATATCGTCATTTTGCAAAACCGCGTAACTGACATTTGCTGCCAAAAATTGGATTTGCTCATACAAGCTCTTGGCTCAATCCTTATCCATTCGTCCTGAAATGTACCAGCCAGTAATGCGATTGCTTTATAATAAAGAGAACCATTTTGAAATATGAGTGTTTTACTCTCTAGAAAATAATTTATGCAACCTCACATACGCGGTATTGAATTATCTTGATACGCGGTTTTGCATTTTGTTGATACGCGGTTTTGTACTTTAAACGACGATATGTCCGCCTAAAACCGAAAATCGCGGATTGACGTTGGACTGACACGCACCCATAGACAACATGTTGTGTGTTTCGTTTTGTTCCCATACGTATATAAAACAGAAACCTCCCTACAGTAAAATTTAGAGACAGTCTGGCAAAGCGCTAGTTCCGAACTACATATTTCAGAACTATCTCTGCTCTACCAGAGATTTCAATAAAAGTTTCTAAGAGTTTTACGCGAAACTCTGGTATACGTGTGACCTTTTATTCCCTTTCTTATTAACACACCCGATGAAACCTTTAGCTTAGAGAATGATAAAAAGCGATTCGAATTCTATGTACGTAGTTCTCTAAGGTAGAAGATTAGAAGACGATTAGCTAAACTTTAGAGAATTATAGCATTTTCTACAAAAAGGGGACTTAGTCTTCGATATCGAGAAAAGAGTTAGATATCTTATCGTATTCTAACGTTGAATTCTAATTGGTTTCTAATGTCTAGTGTTTTTCTAAACATTCTCTAATCTAATTCCAACATAGTTCTCTAACCTCATTTTCGATTCGAGAACTACATTAGAATTCGAATGTAAAATGAAAACGATTCTCTAACGTTTCTCTAACTGTGTTTGCTGGGACTTAAGCGCCATCAGTGTGTGTAAGTGTTGGTTTTAAGAGAATTTATTTTAATGTATTAGAGATTCGGGTAGTGGCTTAAATTTAGATTTTCCTGACCAAAAAAAAAAATAAAAAACAAAAACCACTTATTTTTTACATAGGTTCTCCAACAACTCACCATTCACATGGCCAACGCTCGTTTCTACTATGGCTTCGAATACCTAGGCGTACAGGATCGCCTCGTACAGACACCTCTCACTGATCGCTGCTATTTGACTATGACTCAAGCTCTGGAATCACGTCTAGGAGGATCGCCTTTCGGTCCAGCCGGTACTGGTAAAACTGAATCCGTTAAAGCGCTCGGCAATCAACTTGGTCGCTTTGTACTCGTCTTCAATTGTGATGAGACATTCGACTTTCAAGCAATGGGCCGTATCTTTGTTGGTTTGTGTCAAGTTGGCGCATGGGGTTGCTTTGATGAGTTCAATCGTTTGGAGGAGCGTATGTTGTCTGCCTGTTCACAACAAATTCAAACAATACAGGAAGCATTGAAGTATGAAATGGATAGCAATAAGGAAAGCATTACTGTTGAGTTGGTTGGAAAGCAGGTGCGCGTCTCGCCTGACATGGCCATATTCATTACCATGAATCCTGGTTATGCTGGCCGCTCCAATCTGCCCGATAACTTGAAGAAACTCTTCCGTTCACTGGCTATGACCACACCGGATCGCCAGCTTATCGCCGAGGTGATGTTGTTCTCACAAGGTTTCCGCTCAGCCGAGAAGTTGGCCTGTAAGATTGTACCATTCTTTAAGCTTTGCGATGAGCAGCTTTCGAATCAAAGTCATTATGATTTCGGTTTGCGTGCGCTTAAATCGGTATTGATATCGGCTGGTAATGTTAAACGTGATCGCATTATGAAGATCAAGGAAAGCTTGCGTCAGCGTGGTGAGGAGAATATTGATGAAGCCTCGGTAGCTGAAAATTTGCCTGAGCAAGAGATTCTAATTCAATCGGTTTGTGAGACAATGGTACCCAAGTTGGTGGCAGAGGATATACCACTGCTATTCTCGTTGCTAAGCGACGTCTTCCCGAACGTTGGCTACACACGTGCTGAGATGAAGGGTCTGAAAGAGGAAATACGCAAAGTATGCCAAGAAGATTACCTGGTTTGTGGCGAGGGCGATGAGCAGGGCGCTGCTTGGATGGAAAAAGTAAGTGATAATATACGTCGAATTTTATGTAGTTGTTTTATTTGTAGTAAAATGTGTTGGTGCAGCGTGTGAAAGCTGTGAAGGAGTGATTTAAATTTATTACCAATATGATTTTGTATACCTCTCCGAGAAAAACTTATTTTGGAACACCTCCTTCGCACGAATATTTGTGATTGCGCTTCTCGTATTTTGTGTAAACTGATGTGTATACTTAGAGATTCAAAAATTATTAAGAAAAATTTCCTAATGTATGCACTTTAATATTTAATCAATGCTTGCTTTTCACGCGCAATTACCGAAAATCACAATGAATAACGTCTATAAAACAGAATGCGCAAGGATTCGGTGAAACGTGGGTGGAAAAAGTAAGACGCTTAACCCTATCCAATTCTTTAGTTCACATTTGTATACCAAGCAAGTTTAATTAGTCAAAATTATTATGAGTTGCTTTCATACTTTTATTAATTGCCAAATTCATATTCCAATAACTTAAGCTTGCTCGCAATAATTTTTTATTTTCGATATCCTTCGTTGCCGTTCATATTCTAATATGTTTGCCATTTTTTATAAAAAGGTACTACAATTATACCAAATCTCTAACCTCAATCACGGTTTGATGATGGTCGGTCCATCTGGCTCGGGCAAATCAACTGCCTGGCGTACACTACTCAAAGCATTGGAACGTTTCGAGGGTACTGAGGGAGTTGCGCACGTCATTGATCCCAAAGCAATTTCGAAGGAGGCACTCTATGGTGTCATGGATCAGAATACCCGCGAGTGGACAGACGGATTGTTCACGCATGTACTCCGTAAAATCATCGACAACGTGCGTGGTGAAATCAATAAGCGCCAATGGATTATTTTCGATGGAGATGTCGATCCCGAATGGGTAGAGAATTTGAATTCTGTGTTGGACGACAACAAATTACTGACACTGCCGAACGGTGAACGTCTATCGCTGCCACCAAATGTGCGCATAATGTTTGAGGTGCAAGATTTGAAGTTTGCCACACTCGCTACAGTCTCGCGTTGTGGCATGGTATGGTTCTCCGAGGATGTTTTGTCCACTGAGATGATATTCGAGAATTATCTCTCACGATTGCGTAGCATACCACTGGAAGATGGCGATGAAGACTTTGTTGGCGCTGTCAAGCCTTCGTCCAACAAGGACAAAGAAGAAGAGGTCTCTCCCTCATTGCAAGTACAGCGCGATATCGCATTGTTGTTGCAGCCATACTTCTCGGCAGATGGCATTGTGGTGCGCAGTCTGGAATATGCCATGGAACAAGAGCATATTATGGACTTTACACGTTTGCGTGCGCTTAGCTCACTCTTCTCAATGCTGAATCAAGCTGCAAGGTAAGTTAACACATTTCTCTAATTAAAGTCGTCTCTACCCGCAATGAGCCGCCAACTTAAATGCGTATATATACATATATCGATAAATATCAAAAATGTACAAAATTGTTTAATAAAATACTCCAATTAATTTTTTTTAGAAATGTGCTCCACTTTAACTCCCAACATCCAGACTTCCCTTGCTCCAACGACCAATTGGAGCAGTACATACCCAAAGCACTTATTTATTCAGTACTCTGGTCCTTTGCTGGTGATGCTAAGCTCAAAGTGCGCACTGATTTGGGTGATTTTGTACGCAGTGTTACTACCATTCCACTGCCTGGCGCTGCCGGTGCCCCCATCATTGACTACGAAGTTAGCATGAATGGTGAATGGGTGCCGTGGTCGAACAAGGTACCGGTTATAGAGGTTGAGACGCACAAAGTCGCTTCACCAGATATTGTTGTGCCCACATTGGACACTGTGCGTCATGAATCGCTGTTGTACACTTGGCTAGCGGAGCATAAGCCATTGGGTGGGTGATAAAAACATAAAAAAATGTTTTCCAACCACTAATATCTTTTGATTTCTTAGTATTATGTGGTCCGCCTGGCTCTGGCAAAACCATGACACTCTTCTCAGCACTGCGCGCTTTACCCGATATGGAAGTGGTTGGTTTGAATTTCTCATCAGCCACAACACCGGAGCTTTTACTGAAAACTTTCGATCACTACTGCGAATATCGTAAGACTCCTAACGGTGTTGTGCTTTCGCCAGTACAGGTGCGTCATTACTTCACATCCAGTTTTTCCTTTATTTAATTAATAAACATATTTACTCTTATAAACAAAATCCAGATTGGCAAATGGTTGGTACTCTTCTGCGATGAAATCAATTTACCCGACATGGACACCTACGGTACTCAACGTGTGATTTCATTCTTGCGTCAACTTGTTGAACACAAAGGATTCTATCGCGCCAGTGATCAAGCTTGGGTCTCCTTGGAGCGTATACAATTCGTGGGCGCTTGTAATCCTCCCACAGATCCAGGTCGTAAGCCCCTTTCGCATCGTTTCCTACGTCATGTGCCCATCATTTATGTCGACTATCCTGGCGAGACTTCGCTCAAACAAATCTATGGCACTTTCTCACGTGCAATGCTACGTATGATGCCCTCATTGCGAGGCTACGCTGAACCACTTACCAACGCTATGGTCGAGTTTTATTTGGTTTCACAGGATCGCTTCACACAGGACATGCAGCCGCACTATGTGTACTCGCCGCGTGAGATGACACGCTGGGTACGTGGTATTTGCGAGGCTATACGTCCGCTTGATTCGCTACCAGTGGAGGGTTTGGTGCGTTTGTGGGCGCATGAGGCGCTACGCTTGTTCCAAGACAGGCTGGTTGAGGAATCAGAACGCCGTTGGACCAATGAAAATATTGATATTGTTGCACTCAAACACTTCCCTGGTATCAATCAAGAGGAGGCATTGACACGCCCCATTTTATATAGTAATTGGTTGTCCAAGGACTACATGCCGGTCAATCGCGAAGAATTGCGAGACTATGTGCGTGCTCGCCTTAAAGTTTTCTACGAGGAGGAGCTCGATGTGCCGCTCGTCTTGTTCGATGAAGTTTTGGAGCATGTTTTGCGTATTGACCGTATTTTCCGTCAGCCCCAGGGACATCTGTTGCTGATTGGTGTGTCTGGTGCAGGCAAAACTACACTTTCACGCTTCGTCGCCTGGATGAATGGTTTGTCCATCTTCCAAATTAAGGTGCACAATAAATACACGAGCGAAGACTTTGATGAAGATTTACGTTGTGTGCTGAGACGTTCGGGCTGCAAGGATGAGAAGATAGCATTCATTTTAGACGAGTCGAATGTTTTGGATTCTGGTTTCTTGGAACGTATGAACACGCTGCTGGCTAACGGTGAAGTTCCCGGTCTGTTCGAGGGCGACGAATACACTACTTTGATGACACAGTGTAAGGAAGGAGCACAGCGCGAGGGCCTGATGTTGGACTCCAGCGATGAGTTGTATAAATGGTATGCTGGAATTGATATTTAATTGATACATAAAAGTAACGTTTACTTTGAGTCAAACTTGCAAGTAAAACATACTTAATTCTTTACTCCTCTCTCTCCTTCCACACAGGTTCACCCAACAGGTTATGCGAAATTTGCACGTCGTCTTCACCATGAACCCATCCACAGATGGTCTAAAAGATCGCGCTGCCACTTCACCTGCTCTTTTCAATCGTTGTGTGCTCAACTGGTTCGGAGATTGGTCCGATTCCGCACTCTTCCAGGTTGGTAAAGAGTTCACTACACGCGTGGACTTGGAAAAGCAAGGCTGGTCTGCTCCCGACTTCTTCCCGTCTGTATGTCCTTTGGTACCAGCACAACCCACTCACCGCGATGCTGTTATCAACAGCTGTGTGTACGTACACCAAACTCTACACCAAGCCAATGCACGCCTCGCCAAGCGTGGTGGACGCACAATGGCCGTTACACCACGCCACTATTTGGACTTTATTCATCACTTTGTCAAATTGTACAATGAGAAACGTAGTGATTTGGAAGAACAGCAGTTACATTTGAATGTTGGTCTCAATAAGATTGCGGAAACTGTTGAGCAAGTGGAGGAGATGCAGAAGTCTTTGGCCGTAAAGAAACAGGAATTGCAGGCGAAGAATGAGGCGGCTAATGCTAAGTTGAAGCAAATGTTTAAGGATCAACAAGAGGCGGAGAAGAAGAAAATACAATCTCAAGAGATACAGATACGTTTAGCCGATCAGACGGTTAAGATTGAAGAAAAACGTAAATATGTCATGGCCGATTTGGCACAAGTGGAACCGGCAGTTATAGAGGCGCAACAAGGTAAACGCTTAGTATATAAAATGAGAGGTTCAAAGTAAAATAACTGTTTATTTCTTAACGATAACTTAAAATTTTAGGTTCGATTTAAGCAATTTGACTAGTGAGAAGTGCTAAGATTAAATTATTTCTTAAATGCAATTTTTTTTTTATTTAGCACAGCATTTTACACAACCGCGAATGTTCACGCATACATAGTACATAGTGTATTTGCGTACGTTTTTTTATTATACATAACATGAACTACACTGGTGTTTCAAATTTATTTTTCTTATCACATCTCTTGATTTGTTTTCATCACCGTTTAAATGTGCGTTTTTTGCAAACACTTTACCACTTTAGCTGTAAGCGCCATTAAAAAGAAACACTTGGCTGAGGTGCGTTCCATGGCCAATCCACCGGCTGTTGTTAAATTAGCGCTGGAATCAGTCTGTGAGCTGCTTAGCGAGACTGCCACCGATTGGAAGGCGATTCGTGGCATACTTGTCAAAGATAGTTTTATACCGTCCATTGTTAATTTGAAAACTGAGCATATCACGTACGGCAATATACTACATTACTATATATATATATAATCAATCAGCAATAGTTTTAATTCAAATATTCTAAGCAAACAAAATTCAAAATTTTCACTTACACACACGCCCACCTGCATAATATATAAACACTAAATACTACTATACATACATAAAAAAACATGCTGCAAAAATCTATAAAAGAAAAGATAAAACAACAACAAAATATAACATACATATGTACAAGCACACACACACACACTCAGTTCACCCAATCATTTAAATTGGCTTCTTGTGGCTGTTATATTAAATTAATTAAAACTATTAAACCGTGGATCAGTGCTGTATAATACATACATATATATACATATTGTATATCTAAACTTATACGTAATTTACATAACCTCCTCTCTATCTTCTGATTTCTAATCAAACGGATTAAATATATTTTTCTTTGATTACATAATACTTTTGCATCGTCCATTTTTTTTCATCTCAAACAAACGAATGCATTCATCACATTTTGCATCTGCTCAGCACAATTATTAATTTGAATAATGACCGTTAATTATGTGTGTATTTGTGTATATTCAATATTATTTTTTGAATATTGTACATTTTTCATAAACAATTTTCTGTATTATAAACAACAAATCTATATAAAAGTTGATTTGCACCAAGCCTTAACTGCAGTTTATGCCGTTTGAAAAACGGAGATTACAACTAGAAGGGGGTGGTTCCACCTAAATATTAAGTAGAAGCAAACGAAAGGAAAAAAACAAAACTTAAGAAATGAAAACCTTTCCGATCAGGGTTGGAATTATTTGAACTTTTCTGAGCTCTTAACAGCAGTTAAGCCTTTGGTGGAAATAGGCTATAAGTGCAAATAATATAAAATAAGTTCGTAATACGTATAGTATAAATTTTTTAGTCTAGTTTTTTTTTTTATTAATAATAACTGTATTTAACAACTGTATAATTGCGGGCTTGTTAAGGGTTCGGAGCAAACCACAAAAAGGTTTGTTGAAAAATTTAAAAACTATGCCAAGTTTTGTAGGAGTTAGTAAACTCCAATATAGCAGACCAAAGTAGTATTGAGCGTAGATATGGATTGACCACGGACACAATTATCTATATATAAATACGCCACAAGAAATTTCTTTTTTTTTGTAATTTAAAGTTTCTTCCTAATTCTTTATAAGAAGAATTAATTGGCCAGCAAAAAAAAAACGCCATCCAACAAGAAAATTTTGCAACCCCTTTTTTGAAGGCACCGTTCGCTCGATGTCAATGAAACATACAGCGATTTAAAGGATATATATAACTTCCTCTAATCCAGAAATGTTAATCCCGATATATAGGGGGCGTGGTATCTGACATATAGACTAAAATGTGAAAACCATTATATCTCTACAACCAATTATGTTGGAGAACTGAAACTTAGCACAGATGCATAGATTGTAAGTACCCTACTTAAGCTTAGTATCCAGCTCTTAAGAAAACGGTCAAGAAAAAATTGCCATTATTTCGCGTGTGTGTCCAAGGAATTTTGACATTTTTTATACCTCACAGCCTGTTGCCTCACTCTTTCCTCAAGAAATAATGGAACGGGCATATATTTCTGTTGCAAACCTGGGTTGCCTTGTGCTCTTTTTTTCACAAAAAACTTTAGAAACCCGTAGTAGAAAGCGTACTAAATTTCTGAAGAACTGCGTACTGCCTTAAGGAAATTTGACTCAAGAAAATTTCTTAGCCATTTCTTGTACGTCATTTTATATGGAGTTTTTGCTTTTCTTAAGAGCTGGATACTAAGCTTTACGGTGAAAAATGGTAGGTACTGAGAAAGTGGGCGTGGCACTTCCCATACAAACTGGATTTCTCATATCGCTTTTCTCTGGAACCACTTATGCTAACGTCCTAAAATTTGACACAGCAACATATGTTGTCAATACCGTACTTACGGCGAAAAGTGATAATTGGAAAGTGGTAGTTGGGAAAAGAGGGCGTGGCACCGCACATACAAACTGAAATTCTCATATCGCTTATCTCTGCAACCGCTTAGGCTAACGCCCCGAAATTTTTGAAAAAGCTATTTACGATATCAATTACGTACTTATCGCGAAAAGTGGTAGATAACGGAAAAGGGGGCGTGGCACCACTCATACAAACTGAAATTCTCATATCGGTTATCTATGGAACCGCTTAGGCTAACGCCCCGAAATTTGAAACAGCTATTTACGATATCAATTACGTACCTATCGCGAAAAGTGGTAGATAACGTCTACGTCCCGAAATTTGACACAGCAACGTATGTTGTCAATACCGTACTTACGGCGAAGAGTGGTAGATTTTGGAAAGGGGGGCGTGGCACCGCCCATACAAACTGAAATTCTCATATCGCTTTTCTCTGGAACCACTTATTATAAGTTAATAGAATTTTATACACCTATAAAATTGCAAGAATCATTCAGTTGGGAACCATTTTCTCCCAAATTTTAATGATTGTCATTTTGTGCAAACGTTTTTAGAAGGATCAGTTTGTTTGTCTTCCTATAAGTGGCGCAGGAATTGAGATCTATCCTAAAAGATGATATTTATGATCAGAAATGTTTCACTTATAGAACACATATTAGTAACGTAAAATATGGTATAACCTGGTAGCCTGGTCGTGTGATAAAAAAAATAGTAAAACCGCCGTTAGGGAAGGAAATATTATCTTTTGTTTTAAACCTTCAAGATACTTTCTCAACCGTTAACGATTCTGATGAAAAAAAGAAAGAGTATGTAGATGTGGGCAATTTAGTTTTTAACCTGCAAGAGGCTCTCAGACAAATATAATCGAAAAAACTTATTTACAGTCCGAATTGGTATATGTTTGACATATTAGTCAGTGATGAACATCTCATCTTTACATACAAATACATATGCATATTTTTTATAAATGAAAATCGAGGTTCCTTTTTCGGTCTAATTTCAAAAGCTGCTGAAGAAATTTTGGAGTAGACTTGGTAGAATTACCATTAACCAATCCGGTATTAACGTTCATAATTCGATTTGAAGTTTTCCTGTAAATTCGATATAAACTATGCTGGTGGACTTCAAAATAGTAATTCGCATAAAGAAGTTAGTATTGGTGACAGGTAAAATTCAAAAGTGTATGAAAAAAGATGTCGAATTCCGGACAACTGGGCGATACTTGTAGACTTAAATCGTCAAATAGAAAAGTCACGACGATGTTGCTCTGCAATGCTTAAAATATTTTCAAATGCTCCGATGATTAGAGGGACTATTATGAGCGCTCCGAACTTTAAGTCCTTACAACTGTTCTTGTAAATCCACCCGTGCTGTGGCCATAGGATAGGTTAGGCGGCTGCTAGCCAGTAAAGACCGTAAGGGCCTTGTTCTATCTTCTGCCTGTATGTATTTATATATGTACATATGTCATGTGCAGGCGATAGTTGCTCCTGAGTCGCATTATTTGTGTTTCTAAAGTATGTGCCCATGAACAAAGAGATCACAAGAAAAAATACAGTTGTCCGCCAGATAATAGGAGTGCGATATTTTGAATAGTTTTGGCTATTTGTCTTTTGTTTATTTAATGTTTATTAGTTTTTTATAAAGGTCTAGCTGGCTGTACACCAAACACTATATAAATTTAGATTTCAAACTTTGTACAAGAACTAAAAATTTCGCAAATTTTCACTGAAATTTCAAACTTTTTAATCAGAATATTTAGAAAAAATTGTGGAACGCAGTTTTGTAGCTCATTTAATTCTAGTATAATAAAGTGCAAGTTTCAAGCTGCTAAAAAATTCGGTTGATTTTTGGCAATTTTTTTGCTTGCAGTGCCCTTCATATAAAAGAAAATTGCCGAACATACTTTGTATGGAAAAAACGTGAAACACCTTCAACCAAAAAAAATCTCATAAAGGTTGCAAGCAAATAATCCATTCGCATCAGCCTATTGTCAAATAAAAAATATAAAAATACAGAAACGAAACCCCCATGTTGCGCAAGGTCAACCTGTACAATATTTTTTTATCGGTTGTAAATTTATATTTTTGCTAATGCTGTTATTTTTGCATAAATAGTTTTAAACCGTCACATAATTTTAGTTTCCCAAACCTCAAATCAATTTTATTAGTTAATAATTTTTTTCCAGCTAAATAGTCACTTTTGCTTTGTGTGCGCCGCCAAAATAATTATCTACATAAGAGTACGTGCTAAAATAATTTGACAGCTGTGGTCCGTAGCCTGTCGTTTTCAATGTGTTTCATGCTTTAATTAATTATTATTTACTGAAAATAATTGAATATAACGGTAATTTACAGAAACGCGAAAAGTGCGATAAATCAGCTACTGAAGCTAATTAACTCAAAATCGGTTATTGCAATGACCACTAGCAAAAAATTAGACTATTATAAATTTTTGGATTTTGGCGTGGCGCCGCCCACTTATGACTACAAATGTGTATCTCGGTAACCGATTTATCAATTTTTACCAAACGTGGTGTATTTAATAACCTTGGTACGAAAATGCAATTCGTTGGAAAATATTCAAATGGGACTAAAATTGCACCAATTTCCTGTATAACGGTAATTTTCGGATAAACGAAAACTCCTATATTTCAATAACTGAGGTCGTTAATTTACTCCAAGTTAATACTTACAACAATCTCTTAACAATAAATAAGAACTGCTATAGACGTTTAGGTAGTTTAAAGAAATTTGGAACGACAATAGTTGATACCAGCGCCGGGTATATAAAATTTGGTTTCGCCCGAAATTATACTTCATCGCTTGTTTTTTTTTTAATTTTTATTGAGCTTGAGGACCTTATTATTGATCATTTTTTGTGGAAAAACAACAATAAAATTATTTCAAAATAAATTGTTACTAGGCCTGAAAATAACAAAAACCATATATTGAAATTTTTTCTTTAAGAAGCTGACTGACTGTCAATTAGGTTGTTCACACTTGCTTGGTTATGTTGTTGTTGTTGTTGTAGCAGCATACAAGCTCCCCAAAGAGTTTTTTGGGAGTGTTGCTGGAGTGATAGTCCTTGGGTAAATATAAATCTGGGTCGTTCCGGTTACGTAGACCCGACTGTCGTGGGAACGTGGTTATCAGGTTATCTGGTTAAAAATTATTACTCTGTAGTGTATTTATTGTTGTAAACTGAATAAAAATAATAACCACATAACCCTATATCCTGATTAGCAGGCAAGTGTGAACAAAGTAAGTTGTAAGAATGATACGTAAGTTGGTAAATCGTTGGATTTCTAGTCTTCATAGAAGCAGGGAAACTGGCTTTAACAAAGTGTCGAATCCCACACTTTTTCCTAATGACAACAAAATTTTTAGAACAGTTAGCGACGATAAATTTATATGTAATTTAATGTAAGATGTTTACAGACTATATGACAAATATAAATATAGAATAAGGGAAACCCTTATGGCAAGGGCCTTATGAGTAAATTCTTAAAAGTAAACTTTGAATAAGAAAAATCTAAGTCTAAAGAAGAAGAATAAGCATTAAATTGGGATAGAGTCCTCCTTAAAGGAGCATTCATACCGTAAACAGTTTTAACAACACCCCCACAAAAAACAATTCATTACAACGAAGAATACGTGAGGGAACATTAAAACGAATTTTCATAAGGAGGTGCGAGCAATCTATAGTGCCTGCAGTTAAATCAAAGACAAAGCACATCGATAACAGAGTACGCCTGGACTCTTAAGGACAAATTCTTCAAAGATTTCTTGAGAAATGGTTACTTCAATATTGCTTTTCTATTAACTAAATTACCGACACTCTAGTGATTTAGGATTTTTCTTTATATTAAGTCGAACTCGTAAGTAGTTATTTAGTAAAATTAATAAATTTAAATCCCGAAATGTTTATCTCTAGAACTCTTAGCAAGTCCATATTAGTTAATATTGAAATATGTACAAATGAATGCACTAAACATCTATAGGTTTTGGTAGATATAACTTTAACCTTAATAACCACTTGCGCGACATCGGCAATGAGAAAGAATACTGGATTGGATTTACATACATACAACAAAGATCACTCTACTGCGATCCCGCCAACGTAAAGACCTTAATTGCCATTTAATTTAACTTAACATCATCTAATTAAATGGTTAGATGTTAATATTTTTACTACTAAACGACTCAGATCGTGCGATTATTTTTACTAGTTACTATTACTACTACTACTACAATTACTCACCACACACTCACTCTCCTACCCCGCTTGATTCACTTTAGCCGTTAAATCAATTCGTAAGCAACAACTTGTTGAAGTCCGTACCATGGCCAATCCACCGTCGGTGGTGAAATTGGCTCTGGAGTCAATCTGTTTGCTGCTGGGTGAGAATGCGACCGACTGGAAAGCAATTCGTGCCGTTATAATGCGGGAAAACTTTATAAATTCAATTGTATCTAACTTCAATACTGAAAATATAACGTAAGCATGACAACAACAACAACAAAAACAATATAATAAGTTAACTATTTTTACACCCTTGTTGTTATATTTTTTTTTTTTTGTATTCGTTGAATGAGTGGCGCAATTGATTGATGATTCGAAGCGGTTTTTGGGATGAAATTATAAATACATATGTATGAGCAACACGGTGGAGAGAATACAGAGGTGGCGCCGATGACGATACCGCTACTCGGCTCTCAGTGATTTTGACAGAATCAGCTGTTTTGGTGACATCATAGTAGAAAAGACAGCAGTAGTGATGTGCTGAGTCAATACTTTTAAGTACCCAATACTCTCGATACTCGGTACCGAAACATTTAGGTTTCGAATAAAAGCGCACATAGGCCAAAAATATGGAAAAAACGCCTAACAAAACCCGAATGTAAGAGCCAATAGAGCTTTTTTACTGATTCAAATGAAAGATGTATATATGTCGGTTCGATGCCATAATACAGAGAAACCCTTAAGGCTCTGTTATGCATACTTGGCATTGCATGCACTGCTATACCATTTTTACGTAGAAATCGAAAACCAACAGACTTCTACGTATGTAGTGCTGTGCGTTCGATAACCGATTACACGCGAGGCTCATTTAACAGATTTCTTATGTGACAGCTCTCAAGCCATGCCAAGTATGCATAACGGAGCCTTTACTTGTTTGAAGCATTTTTGTTCCAGCTGAATCGGACGATATCATTTTTGTAGGCCTGGGACAGATTCTGTAACCAGTTAACGAGAATTTTCGAATCGGTATCGGTTTTGTCGACGTTTGATATCAAATATTTGTAAGTCAACAAGTGCGATATCGATCCGAAACTTGTCGCTAACTGGCTACAGAATCTCTCCCCTGAAAGGCTTCTTCATCCGTCAAAGTATTTTTCTTGAACCTTGGATCGACTAAGGTTAAAACTGATAAAATAATATTTTTCTGTGGCGATAAGTTCAAGTGTTTTAGCCGATATCATATAAATTAGTAATGAAAGTTTTTTCTAAACCTGAAATGCATATAAAGGCGAGGGTTTAATGTAAATAATCGGTATCGGATACCGAAAAGGAAGTATAGGGTACCGAAATCTTTTTTAAGTATTGGGTACCGAGTATTGGGAACAATTCAGCACATCACTAGTCGGCCTCATTCTCGCCGCTCTCAGTTGTCAACTCTACGATGACGTCACGCTAAAATTACTCTCACGAATTCTGCTGCAATCGGCGCAATCTTGTATTCTATCATTCTTGTATGAGCAACTCCGGTTTAGTTTTTTTCATGTTTAACTGCAAAGAATTTCTTAGATTTGATCCACAATGTTATAAAATCCGTAATGTTTAATGTTTTTGAGAAGTGAAAAACATCACTCGAAAAAAATATTCCCTCAATTTTTTTTACTTTTCATTACAAAATTTTAGGCCCTTTCCAATTAATGCTTAGAATAAGCTCTCAAGGAAGATCACAAGAAATATTCTGCATTATTTCTGCTACTTAAAATTTCGTTGCTGTAAATTTTCTCGAAGAATTAAATATACGAGCCAAGAACTATGGAACAGGCTGCAGTAGTAGAACATCTGATTTTTTTTTTTTAATTTTTGACAGCCGGTTTCACCAGCAGTTTAAGTGAAAAATGATTTTTCCCTTCTGTAAGTTTTCATATTGAATTCGAATACCAGAAGCAACAACAAAATACATGTAAAAATGGCCTCAAACAGACGCGATACAAAAATGTACGATATGGAAGTGCTCAGACAAATGCGGTATACCGGTGCGATACGATGCGTCATAGAGTTCTGAAATATAATTAATAATTCAACTCATCCATTACTACCTCACATCATACAATTTGAAGTATTCGGAATGTAAAGATTGCCATACGAAAGATGAAGCATCGTAGTGTATCGTATCGCACCGGTTTGAGGCACAATGTTTCAGTCCAACTCGAATATTGTGATTGTTCACGCTTGCCTGGTTATCAGGTTGTGGGTTAAAAATAATTTTTCTGTAGTGTATTTTGTTGTTGTACCCAAAAACCTGATAACCAAGCAAGTGCGAACAACTTGTTTTTTTTCTCTAATGCTACTACCTGTTTTATATGATTTGATACGAGCTTTTATTTTGAGAGATTCACACTACTTGATAGAAGAAAATTTATTAATTTTTATGCTGTCATTTTTCTATGATTTTTTTATTTTTCTTAAGGGCTGTATTTTAACTAAGCCTAAGGTGATTGCCTCCGAAATAATTCGAAAATATAATTAAGTTTTTTTTTTATTAATTTACTCCGAGGCTCTTTTATTATTCTCCTATTTTTATCCAATCAATTGCGCGAGTACTCATTCATTTTTTGTTGAAGCAATATTCATTTTTACAAACCGTTAATTTTTCGTTGTAGTTTTATTTTATGATTTTTGAAGTTTAGTTTCCCTCCACTCTGCAATTGGATATACGCGTTTTCTTAGTATGTATTTGCCCTTAGCGTTGTGAAAAACTTTAAAGCGTCTGACGCTTGGTTCGTGCTAATTTTTTGTTTATGTCATTTATTTTTAGTTCTATTTCAATTGATTCGGTGTTGGTTTAACTTATCTTAACGTAAAATGCTTTATTCACATTAATTTCGGTAAACTCCCCACTTTGGTTTTGGCTTTTATTTTTTATAATTCTTCTTGCTAATTAGTCAACGCTTTGCTTGCATACAATACACTTTGATTGGTGATTTTATCATTACACTGCAAAAAAACAAAACAAAAACTATACTTTTCGAACCTAACATGTTAACTTTTTACATCCTGATTGGAAAAAAAACAATTTTAGCGATGAGGTGCGTGAAAAGATGAAGAACAAATATCTGAGCAATCCCGACTACAACTTCGAGAAGGTCAATCGCGCCAGTATGGCTTGTGGCCCTATGGTTAAATGGGCAATTGCACAGGTAATTAAAAAAGCGAGCTGCAAAGAATTAAATAAAGAAATTCTTTATCGAACGTTTGGTTTTTTTTTTGTTGTTTTCAATGCCCAGATCGAATACGCTGACATGTTGAAACGCGTGGAACCGCTACGCGAGGAATTGCGTTCGCTCGAAGAACAGGCCGATGTGAATAAGCAGAGCGCAAAAGAGACTAAGGATCTGGTTGAACAACTGGAGCGCAGTATTGCCGCCTACAAGGAAGAATATGCACAGCTTATCTCGCAGGCCCAGGCCATCAAAACCGACCTGGAAAATGTGCAAGCCAAGGTGGATCGTTCCATTGCGCTGCTGAAGAGCTTGAATATCGAACGCGAACGCTGGGAATGCACTAGCGAGACATTTAAGTCACAGATGTCCACTATTATTGGTGACGTTTTGTTGTCGGCTGCATTCATTGCGTATGGTAAGATTTAAAAACATAATACAAATATGGGGAAATCCACATTTTCTTGAACTCGTTCATTATTGCTATTGACAGGCGGCTACTTTGATCAGCACTATCGCTTGAATCTTTTCACCACCTGGTGTCAACATCTCCAATCGGCCAACATACAATATCGCGCCGATATGGCACGCACCGAATATCTTTCGAATCCCGATGAACGTTTACGCTGGCAAGCCAATGCTTTGCCAACCGATGATCTTTGCACTGAGAATGCCATCATGCTCAAACGTTTCAATCGCTATCCACTCATTATTGATCCTTCAGGGCAAGCTACCACTTTCTTGCTCAACGAATATGCGGGCAAGAAAATCACAAAGACCTCCTTCCTGGACGATTCCTTCCGCAAGAATTTGGAATCTGCGCTACGTTTCGGTAATCCGCTGCTCGTGCAAGATGTTGAGAATTACGATCCAATTTTGAATCCTGTCCTCAATCGCGAATTGCGTCGCACTGGCGGCCGTGTGTTGATCACACTTGGCGATCAGGATATCGATTTGTCGCCATCATTCGTCATTTTCTTGTCCACACGTGATCCTACCGTGGAATTCCCGCCAGATATTTGTTCACGTGTTACTTTTGTTAACTTTACGGTCACACGTAGCTCTTTGCAGTCGCAATGTTTGAATCAAGTGTTGAAGGCTGAACGCCCGGATATCGATGAGAAGCGTTCCGATTTGCTGAAATTGCAAGGTGAATTCCGTTTGCGTTTGCGCCAACTCGAAAAGAGTTTACTGCAAGCATTGAATGATGCAAAGGGCAAGATTCTGGACGATGATTCGGTGATCACTACGCTTGAGACGTTGAAGAAGGAAGCTTACGATATCAATCAGAAGGTGGATGAAACTGATAAGGTTATTGCAGAGATTGAGACTGTCTCGCAGCAGTATTTGCCATTGTCGGTGGCTTGCAGCAACATTTACTTCACCATGGATAGCTTAAACCAGGTGCACTTCCTCTACCAATATTCGCTGAAAATGTTCTTGGACATTTTCTCAACTGTGTTGTACAATAACACAAAACTAGATGGCAAAACCGAATATTCGGAGCGATTGGGCATCGTCACCAAAGATCTGTTCCAGGTAAGTTGGTGATACAATTAAACAAAATCTGGCTCAATCGATTTTTCTCCTAATTATGTCTCGCACAAAAAAATATCTAATATGAATTGCTCTTCTTTTCAGGTCTGCTATGAGCGTGTCGCGCGTGGCATGTTGCACAACGATCGCCTCACTTTCGCTCTACTGATGTGCAAAATTCATCTGAAGGGTACATCTGAACAAAACTTGGACGCTGAATTCAATTTCTTCTTGCGTAGTCGCGAGGGTCTTCTTGCTTCGTCAACGCCAGTCGATGGCCTCACAGCCGAGCAAATAGAGAGCGTAAACCGTTTGCAGTCACGTCTGCCTATCTTCCGCAAGTTAATCGAAAAACTTAAATCAATGCCCGAAATCGGCGCTTGGCTGCAACAAAGCTCACCGGAGCAGTGTGTACCGCAGTTGTGGGATGAATCGAAGGCACTCACCTCGATCGTCAGCTCTATTCATCAATTGCTTTTGATCCAAGCTTTCCGCCCGGATCGTGTCATCGCCGCCGCTCATAAGGTGGTCGATGCTGTGCTGGGTCTAGATTTTATGCCAAACGCGGAAAAGGAATTGGACTTGGCTGCTGTTGTGGAGAAGCAGTTGAACTGCAACACACCCGCATTGCTGTGCTCAGTGCCCGGCTTTGACGCCTCCGGACGTGTGGACGACTTGGCTGCCGAGCTGAACAAACAGATCTCGAGCATTGCCATTGGTTCGGCCGAGGGCTTCAATCAGGCCGAGCGCGCCATCAACATGGCCTGCAAGAGCGGTCGCTGGGTACTGCTGAAGAACGTTCACTTAGCGCCTCAATGGTTGGTGCAATTAGAGAAGAAACTACACTCGCTGCAGCCACATTCGGGCTTCAGATTGTTCCTCACCATGGAGATCAATCCCAAGGTGCCGGTCAACTTGTTGCGCGCAGGCCGCATTTTCGTTTTCGAACCGCCGCCAGGCATTCGCGCCAACCTGTTGCGCACTTTCTCAACAGTGCCGGCGGCGCGCATGATGAAAACGCCCAGTGAACGTGCGCGTCTCTACTTCTTACTGGCCTGGTTTCATGCCATTGTGCAGGAACGTCTGCGTTATGTGCCCCTTGGCTGGGCGAAGAAGTACGAGTTCAATGAGTCGGATCTGCGCGTCGCGTGCGACACGCTGGACACCTGGATCGATACGACCGCAATGGGTCGCACCAATTTGCCGCCGGAGAAGGTGCCATGGGACGCGTTGGTAACATTGTTGTCGCAATCCATCTACGGCGGTAAAATTGACAATGACTTCGATCAGCGTTTGCTGACTTCATTCCTGAAAAAATTATTCACGGCGCGCAGCTTCGAAAGCGATTTCGCGCTTGTGGCTAATGTTGATGGCGGTGCCGGCGGTCAGCGACACATCACCATGCCCGATGGCACGCGACGCGATCACTTCTTGAAGTGGATTGAGAATTTGTCCGACCGCCAGACGCCTTCCTGGCTCGGATTGCCCAACAATGCGGAGAAAGTGTTGCTAACGACACGCGGCACAGATTTGGTGAGCAAGCTGTTAAAGATGCAACAGCTGGAGGATGATGATGAATTGGCCTATAGTGTGGAAGAACATGCCGAGGCGGCTAATGCTAATGCAGCACGACAGGAAGATGGGCGTCCATCATGGATGAAAACCTTACATAACTCGGCAACTGCTTGGTTAGAGCTTTTGCCCAAAAATTTGCCTGTGCTTAAGCGTACTGTGGAAAATATCAAAGATCCGCTGTACCGTTACTTCGAACGAGAGGTCACTTCAGGCGCTAAATTGTTGACCACCGTCATATCCGATCTGCAGGATGTGGTATTGATTTGTCAAGGTGAAAAGAAGCAAACGAATCACCATCGTTCAATGTTGTCAGAGCTGGTGCGTGGTATTATACCGAAGGGTTGGAAGCGTTACACCGTACCGGTGGGCTGCACTGTCATACAGTGGATTACCGATTTTAGTAATCGCGTGCAGCAGCTACAGAAGGTGTCGAAATTAGTGTCGCAAGCAGGCGCCAAGGAGTTGCAGGTGTGTACAAAATGCAGCAGGAGCATTTTGGTTTTTTTTTTTGTAATTTAAAGTTACTTCCTAATTCTTTATAAGAAGAATTAATTGGCCAGCAAAAAAGCTTAAAACGCCATCTCCAATTTTAAATTAAATTATAAAATTATAAATTAATTTCAATGTCCTTAAAAAATTAGTGATAGATTTATATGCTTTGCCATTAGTATTTTGATGAAATTCAATTAATGATGTAGTATTTTTGAGTATTGGGTATTTATCACGTGAATTGTTATATTTGTTACGTTTGAAAATTATATGATCAGTATTTTCAACTGTATTACAAAATTCGCAATTTGGGTTTGGAAAAATATTCATTTTTGATAATGTCTCCTTGCAGAAAGTGTGATTTGTTAGAATTCTATTAATTCGTTTAACTTCTATTGGTGTCATTTTATTTGAATTTTTATGAAACCATGGAGGAGTATTTTAAATTTAAAATTTTTTATCGCATTTCTCCATCGCTGCAGACATTCCCTGTTTGGTTAGGCGGCTTATTGAATCCAGAGGCTTACATCACTGCAACACGTCAATGTGTAGCACAGGCCAACAGCTGGTCTTTGGAGGAATTAGCCTTGGAAGTAACAATCACAGAGTCGAGCGTGAATCCAGATCAGAAGGATAGTAGTTTCGGTGTGGCTGGCTTGAAATTACAAGGCGCACAATGCAAGAACAACGAGCTGCTCTTAGCTTCCACTATTATGATGGATTTGCCACTCACCATACTCAAATGGGTCAAGTAAGAATAAGTCATAACAAGTATGTTCTAATATTGTCACTAAAAATAACTTGTTTTCTTGCGATTTGCAGGGCTTCTACTGAGATGCGAGTTAGCAAGCTTACCTTGCCGGTCTACTTGAACTCCACACGCACTGAGCTGTTGTTCACTGTTGATTTGGCTGTAGCTGCTGGCCAAGATCCACATAGTTTCTATGAGCGTGGGGTCGCTGTGCTCACTTCGACTGCTTTGAATTGAATTTGGTAGAGAAGAGCAATTAAAAATTGCATATTTACATAGGTAAAATACGCCAGTATTTGTCAATATTATACCGTAAATGGGCATAAATGTTATATACCATTACATAAAACCAATTTTATTCAAATTTAAAATATTTACTATCACAAGTTTATGCACTTAAAAAGTGGTTTTTGCTTCAATGTAACAGAGTTAATCAATCGTATTCAATATTCAAAATATACAATACTCAAGCATTCAATAAAAGTTAATCAATATGCATGAAAATACGTTTCTGTTTTATTGAATTAGTGAATTGATAATTATCGAATAGGGGGAGTGCAATTTGAAGGGTAATATGAGCATTCGCTTTACGCGCTTCTGTAGCGCATGAAGAATCAAGTAGAAATTTTAGGAAATTAAAAGTTTTGCTGGCAACCCTAGTTTGCCTGCATCTGTTATCGATTACAGCAAGGATGCACTTTGCTGTTATCTATTCGTTAACAGCTTTGTTGCGCCTGTCTGTTGCAATATACTCTTGCGATAACCGATGTACCGTTAAATGGTTCCATGGTGTAATGGCCAGCACTCTGGACTCTGAATCCAGCGATCCGAGTTCAAGTCTCGGTGGGACCTAAGTGAACAAAATTTTTTAACTTAATTTTTTTTTGCAAGACAGTATAACTTGGAAGGCCAAATACAAATATATTTTCTATAAAATACGTATGTATGTACGTAGTCAGGAGCACATGCATGTACGTATTTGTTGGCAATATTTTTATCAAGG